TCAGGGATGAGGTCAGTCTTGTCATATAAGGAGAAAGAAGCTTTCTGAGCAGAGAGGACCCCACTGTGCAAAGTGTAGGGGCCAGGGACAGCTCCTCACAATGCATATCAGGAAATCATCTCATTGCAACTGACCTACGACTGGCTCAGTGCCCTTCAGAAGACCACCTCTCATATGGTGCAGCAGGACCACCAGCTCCTCTCTACTCACTGAAGGTGGGGGAATAAGCAGCCTCGCCCTCTAAGAGTGGGGAGCTTGTGGCTAAAAGGAACTGTCTGTCCCTTTGCCCCTTTTGTCCCTCCACCTCCTCCCCTGTCTGCTGGTGGGATGAGCATGTCTTTCAGGATAGTAATCTATAGGAGGTAACCAGTATTAGAAAGAAAGAGGTTTATTTTTGTTGAAGCTGCTCCTGTCTGAAGAATGGGAGTATCTGTGTGGTCACCAGCCTTGGACACAAGGGCGCAGCGTGAAGCCAGCATTGGATGAGACAGAAGATGGGGGTTGGAGGAGGACCGAGGGGAAGAGGTTATGAGCACCTGGTGAACGTAGACTCTGTCTCTATCGATTTGCCCCTTCTAGACAATTCATATAAGAGGAGTCATACAGTGTGGGTCACGATATGTGCCCAGCTTCTTTCACCGAGCATAATGCGGTTTTTTGTTTTTTGTTTTGGGGTTCTCTTTTAAACAGAGTCACACTCTGTTGCTCAGGTTGGAGTGCAATGGTGCGATCTCAGCTCACTGCACCCTCAGCCTCCCAAGTAACTGAGACTACAGGTGCCCGCCACAACACTGGGCTAATTTTTGTATTTTTAGTAGAGACAGTTTCTATTAAAAACCTATGTTGGCCAGGCTAGTCTTAAACTCCTACCCTCAAGTGATCCATGGATCTTGGCCTCCCAAAGTGTTGGGATTACAGGTGTGAGCCACCACACCTTGCCTCACCCAGCATAATATTTTCAAGGTCCACCCATGCTGTAGTCTGTAAACCCTTCATTCCTTTCTATGACTGGAAAATAGTCCATGTTATGGATATGCCACATTGTTTAGTCATCTGTTGATAGACATGTGGGTTGTTTCTACCTTTTGGGTATTGTGTATAGTGCTGCTGTGAACATTCATGTACAAGATTTTGTTTAAACTCCTGTTTTCAATTTATGGGGGTAGAACTGCTGGGTCATGGTAATTTTATGTTTCACTTTTTTTATTTGAGATGGAATCTTGTTCGGTCACCCAGTCGAGTGCAGTGGCACAATCCAGGCTCACTAAAACCTCTGCCTCCTGCATTCAAGCAATTCTTCTACCTCAGCCTCGCAAGTAGCTGAGATTACAGGCATGCACCACCATGCCTGGCTAATTTTTGTATTTTTATTAGAGAGTTTTGCCATGTTGGCCAGGCTGGTTTTAAACTCTTGGCCTTAAGCGATCTTCCCACGTTGGCCTTCCAAAGTGCTGGCATTACAGGCATGAGCCACTGCACCCAGCCATGAACAAGTGTTACATTGAGGATAACGAGAGCCAGGTTTCTCACTTTTTTTGTTGTTTTGTTTTGAGACAGAGTCTCACTCTGTCACCCAGGCTGAAGTGCAGTTGCACACTCTCGGCTCACTGTAACCTCTGCCTCCCAAATTCAAGCGATTCTTCTGCCTCAGTAACTGGGACTACAGGTGCGTGCCACCACACCCAGCTAATTTTTTACTTTTAGTAGAAATGGGGATTCACCATGTTGGCCAGGCTGATCTCGAACTCCCGACCTCAGGTGATCTGCCTGCCTCGGCCTCCCAAAGTGCTGGGATTACAGGTGTGAGCCACTGTGCCTGGCCAGTTTCTCACTTTTGAACAATGGATTTACAAGGATGAAAAAGGATAAGATTTGAATAAGCCCTGTGATATTAGATTGGAATTGAAGGTATTGGTATGAATCTAAGATTTTTAATATAGACAGAGAAATATAATTACATTAGGTGTAGATATATTACATTAGGTGTACACACACAAAGAAAGAAGCTACAAGCAATGACACCCAGTAGCAATGAGCACACCTAACACCAAGGTCACAATTTCTAAATATCACACTTCACTGAGAATTAGGACTCTTTGGAGAAATATCTGACTCCTGGGCTAGGCTGAGTCAGGGACTATAAAAGATAAGCCTGGATCATCTTACAACAAAAGGTAAGGGCTTAATGTATCTTGGAGCCATTTCAAAAGAATCCAGGAACTAGCTCAAAGAGACCTCACTGGCTAAATATAGAACAATTAAACTAAATAATTACAGTAATAAATATTAACTCATCAAATGAGAGTCTATCAGTCTGAAGAGCAACAAAGTGGCTGGGCGTGGTGGCTCATGCCTGTAATCCAAGCACTTTGGAGGCCAAGGCAGGCAGATCACCAGAGGTCAGGAGTTCAAGACCAGCCTGACCAACATGGTGAAACCCTGTCTTTAAAAAAAAAAAAAAGAGCAACAAAGTTGGAGGACTAAGACTGTCTGATTTCAAGTTGTATTATAGGCAGGGCCCAGTGGCTCATGTCTGTAATCTCAGCATTTTGGGAGGCTGAGGCAGGAGGATTGATTGTGGCCAGGAGCCAGGGCAGCATAGCAAGACCCCATCTCTACAAAAAATATAATAATATAAATTTTTAAATAAAGATACATTATAAACCTACAGTAATCAAGACAGTGTGGTGTTGGCAAAAAGACACATAGATCAGTGGAACAGAATAGACTCCAGAAATAGATCTACACATGTATGGACAACTGGTTTTTTTTGAGACAGGATCTGGCTGTTTCCCAGGCTAGAGTGCAGTGGTGCAATCTTGGTTCATTGCAGCCTACACCTCCTGGGTTCAAGCCTACCTCCTGCCACAGCCTCTCAATTAGCTGGGACTACAGACGTGTGTCACCATGCCCAGTTAATTTTTGTAATTTTGGTAGAGACAGAGTTTCTCCCTGTTGCCCAGGTTGGTCTCAGACTCCTGAGCTCAAGTGATCCGCCCACCTCAGCCTCCCAAAGTGCTGGGATTGCAGGCATGAGACACCACACCTGGCCTGACAACTGATTTTATTACTAAGGTGTGAAGATAGTTTAGTGAAGAAAGGATGGTCTTTCCAACAAATTGTGCTAGAACTGGGTATTTATATGCAAAAACTGAACTTGTAGCTATACCTCACTTTATATATAAAATTAACTCAAGGGCCAGGCACGGTGGCTCACGCCTGTAATCCCAGCACTCTGGGAGGCTGAAGCGGGTGGATCACAAGGTTAAGAGATCGAGACCATCCTGGTCAACATGGTGAAACCCCATCTCTACTAAAAATACAAAAAATATAAAAAATTAGCTGGGCATGGTGGCACGTGCCTATAATCCCAGCTACTCAGGAGGCTGAGGCAGGAGAATTGCCTGAACCCAGGAGGCGGAGGTTGCGGTGAGCTGAGATCATGCCATTGCACTCCAGCCTGGGTAACAAGAGTGAAACTCCGTCTCAAACAAAAAAAAAAAAATTAACTCAAAATCAATTATATTTTAAACAGCTCTATTGTGGTATAACAGACAATAAGCCACCCATATTTAAAGTGTACAGGTTATATCCACACCCATGAAGAGTGGCATTGTTACTCAGATAAGGAAGGCTGCAAGCACCAGTCAAATTTCAGTTGGAGAGAACAGAATTCAATTGAGCTACATTAAGCAGAAAGAGACATTTTTTAGTATAAGAGAATTACAAGATCATTAAGAGGGCCAACAATATAGCTGCTAGACTCAGTATCCAGGAACAACTCTCGGAGACACATCACAGAGCTTGTTGCCAAGGGAACTGCTGTTCCTGCCACAATCAGCAAGCTGCCTCTGCTAAATTGGGAAGCCACCACTCCCTCCGCCAGCCTCAGAGCTGTACCACTTCTGGTGGGGTCTTCACTAACAAAACATACGCATATATCTTGCCTCTACTCCTCATTAAATCAGTTCCAAATTCAAGTCTCACTTCTGATTGTCAAAAGCTAATTGACATCTGGAACCCTGGCATCAAGCAAGTCTGGAAAATGTGTTTTTTAGCTTTGTGGCCTCTGTAATATTTTGGAAGGCACTCTTTTTTCTCGTTCTTTGTTTTTATTTTTTATTTTTTGAGACAGAGACTGACTGTGTTACCCAGGCTGGAGAGGCACGATCTCGGCTGCAACCTCCATCTCCCAGGTTCAAGCGATTCTCCTGCTTCAGCCTCCTGAGTAGTTGAGATTACAGGCATGCACCACCATGCCTGGCTAATTTTTACATTTTTAGTAGAGACGGAGTTTCACTGTGTTGGCTGGGCTGGTCTTGAACTCCTTACCTCAGGTGATCTGCCACCTCAGCCTCCCAAAGTTCTGGGATTACAGGCATGAGCCACCACGCTTGGCCTTGGAAGGCACTCTTAGAGGGTGGTTGAGATTGATGTTGAGCCAATCAATCCACAATATCTGTCATGCTGTGGATGGAACCAATTTGGGAGAAAAATCAAGAGTTCAGTTTTGAACACGGTAGATTTAAGGTATCTTTTTGATATATGACTAGATCTGAAACCAAACGCAGCGTAATTTAGTAGTAAGAGCACAGATTCTGGAACCAGTCTGCTTGTGTTCATGTCATAGCTACATCCTGTATTAGCTGTGTGACACTGAGCAAGTATCTTAACCTTTCTGTGCCTCAGTTTTACCAGTTGTAAAATGACAATAATAATGTTAATAACCGTTTATTTCAGTATCTTCCCAAGTAGTGTTCTCATGAGAAATTAAATGAGTTAATGTTTGTGAAGTAAACACTTTATAAACATTGTAAACAGTGAGTGGCACAAAATAACCAATGTATGTGTGTTTGCTGTGATAATAGTAATAATTTTAATTAATAATGATTAGTTTAATTTATTATTATTTTAATTAGTAGCCTAGCAAATACATATACACAGTACACAAATTCACTGCTTATTTTACTGTTACTATTTTCTATATATCTGACATTTAGGAAGAAAGACCCGGCTGGAGATACACATTTGGGGGAGTCACCAGAACACAGCAGGCTTTTAAAGCCATGATACTGGATGAGCTCACCTAAGGAGTACATGTAGCTAGAGCAGAGAAGATATTGGAGCACTGTGATATCCAGAGGTCGAGGAGATGAGACGGAACTGGCAAAGAGACTGCACAGGCGGGGCAAGGAGAAGTGGGTTCCAGAATCCAGGAAAAGACAGGATTGCAAGGAGGAGGATAACCAGCTGTGTCTGGTGGTGATCTTAGTTGAAACAAGATGAAAACCAAGATTGGACCATCAGGTTTGACACAGTAAGGAGGTCACGGTGACAAGAGCTGTCCAATGGGAAGGTGGGAAAGAAACCCTGATTGCAATGCTTTTAAAAGGGAATTATGGGCCAGGTACAGTGGCTCATGACTGTAATCCCAGAACTCTGGGAGGTTGAGGTGGGTGGATCAAGAAGACAGGAGTTCAAGACCAGTTTGACCAAGATGGTGAAACCCCATCTCCACTAAAAATACAAAAAAAAATTAGCTGGGCATGGTGGCAGGAGCCTATAGTCCCAGCTACTCAGGAGGCTGGGGCAGAGAATTGCTTGAACCTGGGAGGCGGAGATTGCAGTGAGCTGAGATTACACCACTGTACTTCAGCTTGGGTGACAAAGTAAGACTCTGTCTCAAAAAAAAAAAAAAGGTGGGGGGAATCAGGGAGAGAGCATGGAGGCACCAAGTGTGGCCATTCTTTTGAGGAGGTGCACTGCAAAGAGGAGCAGAGAGCTGGGAGAGGAGCTGACCAGCAAGAAAATGGAAATCTCAGTCCTACAACCACCAGAAACTGAATTCTGCTAACAACCATATGCATTTGAACAAGACTCTGTGATCTAGAAGGGAACACAGCCCAGCTGACACCTTAATCACAGCCTGTGTGACCCTGAACAGTGGACCCATTGCAGCTGTGCTCAGACTTCTAACCCATGGACATTCTGAGATAATGAATTTGTGCTGTTCCAAGCCATTAAATTTATGGTAATCTGTTATGCAGCCCCAGATAACTAATACAATGACTATCTGTAATGCAATATTAAGGAATTATTATTATTATTATTATTATTTTTTGAGACGGAGTTTTGCTCTGGTTACCCAGGCTGGAGTGCAATGGCACGATCTCAGCTCACCGCAACCTCTGCCTCCTGGGTTCAGGCAATTCTCCTGCCTCAGCCTCCTGAGTAGCTGGGATTACAGGCACGCGCCACCATGCCCAGCTAATTTTTTGTATTTTTAGTAAAGACAGGGTTTCACCATGTTGACCAAGATGGTCTGGATCTCTTGACCTCGTGATCCACCCGCCTTGGCCTCCCAAAGTGCTGGGATTACAGGCTTGAGCCACCGCGCCCGGCCAGGAATTATTGTTAACATGTAACTGTTGTAATTTGGAGTTACAAAAAACATTCTTTTTTTAGTGATGCACATGAAAGTATTAAGGAAGTATCTGTGATTTGTTTTAAAAATAATGGTAAAAAATGCCGGGTAAAGAATGCTCACACCTGTAATACCAGCACTTTGGGAGGCAAGCAGAGCACTTCAAGTCAGGAGTTTGAGGCCAGCCTAGCCAACATGGTGAAGCCATCTCTATTAAAAATACAAAAAAAATTAGCCAGGTATGGTGGTGCAGGCCTGTAGTTCTAGCTACTCAGGAGGCTGAGGCACGAGAATCACTTGAATCTGGGAGACGGAGGCTGCAGTGAGCCAAGATCACACTACTGCACTCTAGCCTTGGTGACAGAGCAAGACTCCATCTCAGAATAAATAAATAACGGTAAAGAAATAAATAGGGTCAAGTGTGGTGGCTCATGCCTGTAATCTCAGCACTTTGGGAGGCCAAGGTGGGTGGATCACCGGAGGTCAGGAGTTCAAGACCAGCCTGGCCAACATGGTGAAACCCCGTCTCTACTAAAATTACAAAAATTAGCCAGGTGTGGTGGCATACGCTACTTGGGAGAGGATCAATGCAACAGGAAGAGCTAACGATCCTAAATATATATGCACCCAATACAGGAACACCCAGATACATAAGACTTAAAAAGAGAATTAGACTCCCACATAATAATAGTGGGAGACTTCAACATCAGTATTAGATAGATCAATGAGACAGAAAATTAACAAGGATATCCAGGACTTAAACTCAGATCCGGAACAAGTAAACTTAATAAACATTTATAGAACTCTCCACTTTAAACACACAAAATATACACTCTTATCAGTACCACATCACACCTACTCACAGGTTTAAATGAAATATTGGTTGGCTACTTGTTTGTTATTTTCTTCCCTCATTTTTTCCTGTCTCCATTATCAAGCATAAAAGAGGTTTTCAGTACCCATTTTTAGACTGCATTCTAGCCTGGGCAATAAAGCAACACTCCCGTTCTCTCTCCCTCTTCCTCTTCTTCTTTCTTCCTCTCCTTCATTCTTTTTTTTCCTTCTTTCTCTCTTTCTTTTTCTTTTTTCCAAAAAAAAAAAAAAGTTCAGCTACTTGGGAGGCTGAGGCAGGAGAATCACTTGAACCCAGGAGGTGGAGGTTGCAGTGATGTAAGATCATGCCACTATATTCTAGCCTGGGCAACAGAGTGGGACTCTTAAAAAAAAAAGGGAAGGAAAGAGTTAATAATTATTAATCCAGGTGAGAATATACAGGAATCATTGTGCTGTTTTATGTCTGAAACTTATCATAATAAAATGTAAATATATACATAATGATGTGTGTGTGTGTGTGTGTGTGTGTGTTAGAGAGTGAGGGCCTAGCCTTAAGGCCTCCTTCTCCTCTTTCTCCTTCTTTATGTTGTTTCCTGATTGCCCTTTTAATCTGTCTCCCTTAGGGGGCAGTCCCCTTATGGCCTGCTGTCTTTCTAAAGGTTGTACCTTTGAGAGCACATTTTAATAAACCTCTCCTGGTAGAAGTTGTATTGAGCCTTTAAACTCCAGCCCTGTGTGTCATGGGATCTGCTGTGAGCTGACCCAGAAGGATGGCCGTCTCTTCTCAGTAAGTCTGGATGAGCTGTGGGGGCTGAAGTGTCATTGTACAATGGCCCTTATTCACAGCAGGGCTGCCTTTCAGGGGCCTGGTGTGCTCTCCTGGTGCCAACCCCAGCTGTCTTTCTCACCATTCTGAGCTCTGCTCTGCCACCTTGGCCCAAGCCTTAATTCTTTCTCAGAAACCCAATTCCTTCGGCTGGAGCCACGTGTTCCGCTCAGGCCCCATCTGACAGCTGTGGCCCCTGGCCCAGCCCCACAGACGTCCAGTGTTCCCTTTCACAGGCCCTGGTGTGTTCCTGCCAGAAAAGTCCACTTCCTTTATGATTCTTTTTTTCATGGTGTCACTTTTTTTGGCCTTGTGCATCATGCCAGTTCCTTGCACACTTGATGAAAGGATTCACGGGCAGAGAACTTGAATCAATGGGGTCTTTTTATTTTTGAACATCAGTAAACAGCACAAATCAAGTCAATGAGTTTAGCCCCTTGGTTATTTTCGTGCTTGCTGCAGTCTATGCCCGGCATTAAATCCCACTGAAAATGCCTCTTGTTACTGCCAGCTAATGAAGAATGTCGCTCTTTTTTCTGGGTTTGAACACACTCCAAAACATTGGCCTGAAAGATCAGTTTAACATTGGAGAGCCCTGAATGCAAAATCTTTAACTTTCCCTCTTAAGCAGTTCATTGACATTATTCTAATCGTTTTCTTTCCTCTGCATTTTATTGTACTTACTGGCAGTATTTTGATCGCTCTGGTAGTGTAAAATGCAGTCATTTATTTTTGAGACTTAGGAAGATATGCCAAAATCTTGCCCACTGATTAAGCTACAAATCATGTAATTAGAGATTAAAAGGTACAGTTAACCTGTTGACTTGTAGTTGTACCTCCATCAAAATGGCCCCTTCTCACCTTTTTTGGTCATTCTCAATATCCAGGCCCAGAAAGGACAGTTTACAGCATGTGTAGTGGCACTAGCAAAGAACATAGCTTGGTCGGGTGTGGTGGCTCACAACTGTGATCCCAGCAGTTTGGGATTCTGAAGTGGGAGGTTCTCTTAAGCCCAGGAGTTTGAGACCAGCCTGGACAAATAATTTAAAGTAGTGAGTCCCTGTCTCTACCAAAAGTGAGCAGTGATTAATATACCACTGACCATTTTTAGTGAGAAATGTTATGTTCTTTTTTTAAAAAATGCGTGTCTGTGTGTGTGTGTGTGTGTGTGTGTGTGTGTGTGTGTGTGTGTATGGTTTTTTTTTTTAAGAGATGGTCTTGCTCTGTTGCCCAGGCTGGAGTGCAGAGGTGCAATCATGACTCACTGTTGCCTCTACCTCCTGGGCTTATGCAATCCTCCCACATTGGCCTCCCAAGTAGCTGGGACAATAGGCGCACACCACCATGTCTGACTAATTTTTAACTTTTCTGTGAAGATGAGGTTTCACTGTATTACCCAGGGTGGTCTTGAACTCCTGGGTGCAGGCAATCCTCTCACCTCGGCCTCCCAAAGTGCTGGGATTACAGGCAGGAGCCACTGTGCCCAGTCTATACTAATTACTTGAGAAATAAAACCAGAGGAAAAAAAATCTTGAAAAAAGTATTCAAAACAAAAGAAAAGCTGTATGTTATCCCCTGTAGTAGAGTGCCTCATATTTATTTATTTATTTTTGAGCTGGAGTCTCACTCTGTTGCCTAGGTTGGGGTGCAGTGGGTGATCTTGGCTCACTGCAACCTCTACCTCCCAGGTTCAAGCTGTTCTCCTGCCTCAGCCTCCTGAGTAGCTGGGACTGCAGGGGTGAGCCACCATGCCTGGCTAATTTTTGTATTTTTAGTAGAGATGGCATTTCACCATGTTGACCAGGCTGGTATCAAACTCCAGAGCTCAGTGATCTACCCACCTCGACCTCCCAAAGTGCTGGGAATACAGGTGTAAGCCACCCAGCCAGTTGCCTCATATTAAAAAACAAAAAGTAGAACAAACAAAAAAGAAACCTTAACTTTTGTTCCTCTGTGAAATATCAAGACATGAATTAAGTGGTGCAGGTAGGTGGCTTCACCAGATACTGCTAACATCTAGTGAGACCCTCCACACAGTGAGAAGGTTCAATGGCAGATTCTGGAACCAGACAGCAGGAATTCAATTGCCAGTTCCAGTATTTACTAGCTGTGTGATCTTGGGAAAATTACTTCTTTCTGTCCCCTAGTCTCCTCCTCTATTAAATCAGAACAATTAGAGTACCTACCCCAGGAGGTTATTGCAAGTGTGTAGCATGCTTTGATTACAGTCCAGCACAGGAAAAGCAATTGTCACAGTCATCATTATGTCCTGAATGGATGACAGTGACTTTTTCTGGTCCAGCCTTCACAATACCACCAGAATGGTCTTCCTCTAAGGTTGCTCCTCCTGTCTCACATTCCTGCTCCCTAACACGGGATCTGCCTCTCCCCTGGGCAGGAAGTCACAGGTGATAAATACTTTCACTCAGAAGACAAGAATGAGCAGGAAACTCCCAGGTCACAACATGAAACTGAACTGCTTTTTCAAGACGTTCTTCAATTTTTTTTTTTTTTTTCGTTATTAACCTAGGTGAGGAGAGTTGAGTTCATTTCATTCCTCAGTTCAAGGCACATGCTTGTCATTAATCGACATAAGTCCCTTCCCTTGCTTTATATTTTATTTATTCTCTTTTATTCACTTCTCTTACTCCCATATCCCCCCACCCCACCATTATGTTTCCAAGTATTTGTGTTAAGAAAGTGTTGTAGTGGTGAATGTATGACTTCCAGTTACACAGCTGATGAATGGAGTGTTCCTTACACAGTCATAAGATCTGTGCTGAGAACCTCTCATCTTCTCTTCTGATACCTGCCTGTGACACTCTGGTGTACATCCTTACATTTCACTCTTCCCTTCCCCAGATGACAGATACCCAGGTTGCCTCCAACCACCCTCTGCAACAAACCAGGGCAAAGAGGGATTTCTCGGAAGATGGTACCAGGAAATCCTGCTACTATGTG